ACAGTGACTTCCAATCTTCTTACATGCCAGAATYCAAAATTATAATAGGTTGTACTTTCATTCATTATTCATTTCAAAATGTTTTTATATCTCTTATGCTTCCTTTTTTGGATATCTTTAAGTATATTAATTTCCAGATAGTTCAGGGCATTCCCTTTATCTCATTCCAATGTGGTCAGCAGATATACTCAATATTTCAATTCTGATAAGTTTTTGAGACTTGTTTTATAGCCTAGCATGGGTCTGCCTTTGTGTGTGCTTGTGGGGGGTGGGGGCTGGGGTTTGAATCCAGGGCCTCATGTATGTTAGGCAAGCAATCTATCACAAGTCACCTCCACAGCCCCTAGAACTGCCTTGATAATATCTTTCAGTCATTTTTCAAAAGTGCCAAATAAGATGGTTGATAGTATTTTCAGATCTTTGTTTTTACTGAAATATTCTAATTCTATCAATTGCTGAGAGTGTTAGACACCTCCAACTCTGAATTTGCTTCAATTCTGTCTATTAAGTTAGTAAAAATCTTTTTAAGGTACTGGGATTTGAGCCCCAAGGGTGCTTTCACTGAGCCACATCCCCAACCTTTTTTTTTGACAGGGTCTCACTAAATTGCCTAGGGCCTTGCTAAATTGCTGAGATTGACCTAGAAATTGAAAATCCTCTTGCCTCAGCCTCCTGAATGGCTGGGATTATAGGTGTATACACAACAAGCCTAGCTAATACACACTTTTTTATGACTATATCTTCTTGATGAATTAAATCTTTGGTCTGGAAATGCTCAACATTATCTCCATTAATACTGTATATCTTGAAGTTCACTTTATTTGCTGTTTATAGGGACATTCCATTCTTTTTAAACTTTGTTTTAATTTTTTTAGTTGTAGTTGGCCACAGTACCTCCATTTTATTTATTTATTTTTTGTTTGCTTATTTCCCGAACATCCAAGTTTTTATCTGTACCATTTCCCTTTAGCCAGAAATTTAAAAAATGAAAAAAAAATGTAGTGTTCTTCTGCTGTTAGTGAATTCTCTCAGTTTTCACTGTTTTGGAAAAATGTTTATTTTGGTCTTTTATGTTGTTGCTGGGGATTAAACCAGGTCTTGTGCACACTAAGCATAAATTCTACCATTGATTTATGCTCCCATTTTTTTTCTTTTCCTTTTTTTGGTGGTAATGCTTGGATTGAACCCAGGCAGAGGCTCAAATATGCTATACTCTATCACTAACTACATACCTAATCTCAAACTCTTGGATCCAGATGATCCTCCTGTCTCAGCCTCCCAAATAAAYTGGGACTGCAGACATATACCACTGCTATCTGGTTTGGTTGGTTGGTTGGTTTTGCAGGGTGGGGTGTGGGGTGATTGAATTCAGTGGCACTCAACCACTGAGCCACATCTACAGCCCTTTTTCATATTTTATTTAGAGACAGTCTCACTGAGTTGCTTAGCTCCTCGCTTTTGCTGAGGTTGGCTTTGAATTTGTGATCTCCTGCCTCAGCCTCCCAAGGCCTGTTATCTGTTCTTGAAAATTATTTTTCCTTGGATGTAATTCTGGGTTGACAGGTGTGGGTTGTTGTTTGTTCTTTCCCTTTAATTTCAGCATTTTAAAGATATCTCCCTCTGTCTTCTGTTTTCTGCTGTTCCTGATTTGGAAGTCAGCATTTGTATGTACCCTTGTATCTTCATTATTTCTTCTTCTTCTTCTTTTCTTCTTCCTCCTCCTCCCCCTCCTCCTCCAGTATGCATGATCTACCACTGGATTACCTCCTCTTTTTATTTTGAGATAGAGTCTTGCTAAGTTGCCTAGGGTGGTTGTCAAATTTGTGCTCCTCCTGCCTCACCCTTCCTCTAATCCCAAATCACTGGGATTACAGGCATGCCCCATGGTTCCGATTCACTTGTTTATCTTTAGATGTTATTTYTCTTTGGTTCTTTTTAAAATTTTATCATTCTCATCTTTGATTTTTAGTAGTTTGMCTGTAATAGCCTGGTTGTGGGTTACTTTGCATTTGGATTCTCAACGCCTCTTGAATATATAAATTGATGCCTTTAACCAAATTTGGAGTATTTTTTGAAATGTTTTCTGTTCCATTTGCTCCTCTTCTGGAACTCAAATGTATGGTTTTTTATGACAGTTCTCTGAGTTCTTGTTCATTTTCCCCATCTCCTTCAGATTAGGTAAATTTATCATAATCTTTCTTCAGGTTCTCATACTGTTTTAACATACTCTATACCCATCCTTGAATTTTTTAGTTTTTGTATTTTTCAATTCCAGGATGTTCCTTTATTTTTTAATTAGTTTCTGTTTCTTGAGATTGTCCAGTTGTTTTGTTTTTTAAATATTTTTCAGTTGTAGATGGATGCAATATCTAAAATTTTTACATGGTGCTGAGGATCAAACCCAGTGCCTCACAGTRTGCTACAAGCAATCTACCACTGAACTACAGCCCCAGCCCTCAGTTGTTTGTTCTTTATGAGCATAATTCCTTTATATCCATTAGCATCATTGAATAATTGCTTTGAAATCTTAATCTGCTAAACCCAAATMTGTTTTATCTTGTGGGGGCTCTCCATCAGTTGTCTTTTGAGTACTGAAATTTGTTTTATCTATTTAGATCTGCTAATTTTGGATTATATCCCAGACATTGTAAATGATACTTGTAGTGTATGGATTCTGTTATGCTCCTCCTGAGAGTGTTGATTTTTACAGTTTTGTTTTGGCAGATGGTTAATCTGACTGAATTCAAACCCTAAACTCTGTYTCCCTTGCAGAAGACAGCAATTAAAATATTTATTAATTTCTTAGGCTCTAAGCAATTCTGTATTTATGCATATCATGTGAATGTATAGTTTCAGTGATTCACCAGTGATTTGATTAGAGTTTATATGCATATTTGGGATTTCTTCCTCTTAGGCCTTCTCTTTTTTAGAATTAACCCCTTGACTTGTAGATGCTGTGGTTGTCTCAAACTTCTCTTACCTTTGATTTTTCAAGCCAGCAAAACTTTGGGCTTCTATGTGAGTTTCAGTTGCTCCTTTCTCCTATTGTGGTACCTGCTCAGTGAGGCATAGCCTCAGGCCAAAATCTATGAATCACTAGGACCTTTCCTCCTTCAAAGTGTCAGTTCCTCCTCAATTTTTACTTTGGTCATTCCATAGTACCTCCRCGTAATTGTTTTATAGTATGTTGCCCTGGGAGAGGAGATTTGATGGGACAGTTTAGTCAATATAAGAAGTGGAAATTGGGCTGGKTTTTTTTGGCTCAGAGGTAGTGTGCTTGCCTAGCCTGTGAGAGCACTGGGTTCGATCCTCAGCAACACTTAAAAATAAAGATATTGTGTCCACCTATAACTAAAAAATAAATATTAAAAAAAGCGGAAATTCTCTGAGTTTCGAAAGTAAGGATTACATGTAGTTGCTTCAAAACAACAGAATGATAGTTACTMTTTGTATGGCATTTTTTTATTATAAAAGAAATTTAATGTAGATTATCTGACTTATAATRATTATTAATGAAAGTGTTGTACTTTTGGCCAAAAAACCTGGGCAGGAAATTTGAAGCCTAATTTTTAAATATTTATTTTTTTACTTATAGGTTGGCACAATGTGCTAAGGATCGAACTCAGGGCCTCAGGCATGGTAGGCCAGCGATCTACCTCTTGAGCCACAACCCCAGCCCTTGAAGCCTAAATTAAGCATAATTATATGAAAAAATTATATGATTGCTAAAAGCAAGAAACGAGGAAGAAGATAGTTGAAACTTAAAGATATGGTTAGGAATAGAAGAATTTGTGTCTTTGGGGGAGAAATGATACTGTTACCAGGTAGACAAGAGATGAAGAATAAGTATAAAGTTCTATTTTCTTGCTACATGATTCTTTTGGTTCTTTAAATTTCAACTTAAGCTTCTTTGTATGACCATTTTTCTCTGTCCATTTTAAACTAGTATTATAGTTTACTACCTTTCCCCAACTCTCATTCTTTCATATAGGACCMTTGGTTTTATTGTTGCTTTTATTCTAAGAATTCTTATTTCATAATCTGTAAAATACTTATAATTTGACATTTTGAAAATAAATTTTGGTTTCTGTTTGTTCACTACACAGTAAGGTCCATAGGGATCAGAACCATATTTTTGTATGCCTAGCTCCTAGGCTACTGCCTAAGAGTATTTGAAAATGAAATGAATGAATGAATGATATCTAGACAAACATGTACACACATGAGTACCAAGGAATGCAGAGAGGTACAAACATATATTGTTTGTTCATTTGTTGGTTTTTTTTTTTGTCACCTTAATCTGGAATAAGRTGATGGGTATGAATTTAAGAAAGTCATTAAGGGAATGTTTTAAATTGGGATGAGGAAAAAATTTACAAGAGATTTGGGAAAAATCAGTAAAATAACAAAGGCAAGAGTCAATTAATTTACTTTGTAGATTATTAATTAAATAGGGTTTTTTGTTTTTAGATTTTTTTTTTAGTTGTAGATGGACACAATATGTTTATTTTAAATTTATTCTTATGTGAAGCTGAGGATCAAACCCAGTGCCTCACACTTGCAGGGCAAGCACTCTGTCACTGAGCTGCAACCCCAATCCCCTARCTAGGATTTTTGTTTTTTTATTTTTGCAGTGCTGGGATCAAACCCAGGATCTTGAATATGGTAGGCAAATGCTCTACCATTTAGCTATGTCCCCACCCATTCTTTTTCTTCTTTATTTAACTATAAATTTGTGGAATACTATAAGATATTGGTTTTATGCTAGGCAGAATTATGGGGCTCCCCTCCTCCCAAATGAATTAGGATGTGGTCTTGAGTAGTGAGACTTGAAACATGGAGATGAGTGGTGAAAAGCAATCAAGTACTTTTAGTTCCTTTTTGCTACTGGGTTTTAGCATTCCTAGCACATGATAGGAAGCATGTTAAAAAGTAAGAATTATTATTTATAGGTTATTATACTCAGTTTTCTTAGTATTAAAACTTGCTTGTCTTGACAGCTCTTGGATAAGCATAAGAACACAGAGAGCATGGTGGAGCTTCTCGACTTATATCAGATGGAGGATGAAGCCTATAGCAGCCTTGCAGAAGCAACAACTGAACTCTATCAGTATTTACTGCAGCCATTCCGAGACATGAGAGAACTTGCCATGCTACGAAGACAGCAGATCAAGGTAGTCTTTTAAACACTAAATAGTAGTTTACCTACTTTCATTGTTCTCAGCCTGGCTAGCTATGCCTTTCTTCTTCTTCTTTTTTTTTTTCTCCTTTTGATACTGGGGGATTGAACCCAGGGCTTCTGCATGCTAGGCAAGTACTCTATTACTCAGTTACATTCCYAGCCCCTTATTAGAAAATATTTTATTTTGAAACAGAGTCTCACTAAGTTTTCTAGGTTGGTCACAAACTTGTGATCCTCCTGCCTCAGAACCCCCAAGTAGCTGGTTTTAGTGGTTGAGTGCCCCTGAGTTCAATCCCCGGTACCAAAATAATAATAATAATACTATAGACAAATACTTCTTCTTTCTCTTGGTTGGGGTCTAGCCTTAGCATTTCATTTTAAAGTGTCTCAAAAGGTAATTCTAATGAGTAGCTAACATTTAGAACAGCTTAAAGAAATATGTTCTTTTTTAAAAAAAAATATATATATATATATATTTAGTTGTAGATAAACACAGTATCTTTACTTATTTTTATATGGTGCTRAGGATCAAACCCAGTGCCTCACACATTCGAGGCAAGCGCTATAGCCCTAACCCAGAAGTATATTCTTGTTAAAGTACAAAGTTGTAAATACATTGGAAGTTTCCCATTTCCCTCCTCTACCTCTGTCTCCCTTTAATGTTTTGTGTCCTGTATAGTTCTGGATTTCTTTACTAGAAGTCTGGGGAACATTTCTTTAGGGAATAGTGGTTTAATGGTAGTGTTAAAATTCATTACATTAAGTTTTCATTCATGAAGAAATATGTATTACATTTTCTGAGCAAGTATTAAGGGTTTGGATTTGTAGCTGACCACATGTCAGTGTTACTGTGTTTAATCCACATGGAAGTGTTGCTGAACTGGGACATTAAAATTGTGTTTTATATAATGGGTTAAGTAAGAACATTACATAAGAATGTGTGTACGAGAAAATTATCAGTAACTCCGAGAACTTTATGCTTTGTGGCAGGGATTCTTAGTAGGATGGTTAAAAAAGTTTGAGAAGGTAAAGCATGTCTTTCTCCCCCTTTACTAATAAGTCAGGATAGAAATTAATACAAATACATTTGACCCAATTCTTTATTTAACATTCTGAAAAATATTGAGTTGGTAAAAAGAAACTAAGAATTTTTGGACGTTGGAATATCCTCAGCTTTACAAAATGAACTATAGATAGTTCAACTATAGTCTGTTGAAAATCCGATTGGAAGGCCAGGAATGAACTGGATGACTTGGATATCCCACCTGCTGCTAGAGACTACTGCAGTTGTTCGGCCAGTATCATACTCCCATTCAGTATTGAGTACCCAGAATCTATAWGCATTCTTAGTTTTATATTACTTCACACTTTAGAAAATTTGACAGCATGGACTTATGAGGCTGWATCTGCCAATATCATCACTTATTGCTCCCTTTTTCCTGGGAAGCAGAGTGTAGGTAAGGAAAAACAGATTACATACTTTTAAAATTTGACATTTTTAAAGATAAAAATGATATTTTCCTGCATTTCTTTTTCTGAGATTTTGACCCTCAGATGTCCCATCAACTATGACTACTCTATTTTTTTTTTAGCATGTTAAGTGATGCTATTAACTAGTTAATTTTCACAATAACCCTATAAATTAGATGATTTTTCTGCTTTATAGATAAGAAAACTAACATTGGGATGATTTGGTTTTGTTTGTAYGTAGTTAGTGAGTAGAAGAGTTGATTCAGTACTCAAAATCAGGTGTCTGTAATTCCAAATAATTTATTTTTCTAATTACATTACTGATTACTCATTACTTTTACGTTAGAAAATCCATACTCACTAGAAAAGCAAWTATAATTGATTTGGCAAGGTATTTGTGTTTACATAGTTACACAGAAAATATGTAGTGTCATAGAAATATTTTGGTGCTTCTGAAGRTTGTTTGCAGCTAATTAAAGTCATGATTTCTGTTTTTTAAAATGTATTTGTGTTACTAAGCCAGGCTAGCTATATCAATAAAAGGATCTTGCTGGCACAGTCTTCCAGGTTAAGTAAATCTTAATGAAATAAGATATGTTCAGTAAATTTTGTGTTTAAGTATGAAAATCACTGCCTAAAATTGAGTAAGAAGCATGTTTCACCCTGATCTATTGATAGGATATGTGTAGGGTACACTGAGATAATTGTTAGTTGAAAAGCCTTGAAGTAACTAGGTGCAGTGGCTTGCAGTTGTAATCTAGCAGCTTCAGAAGATAAGGCAGGAGGAACGCAAGTTTGAGGCCTGCCTCAGCAACTTAGTSAGACTGCCTCAAAATGAGATAAAAGGGGCTGGGGGTTAGGTCAGTAGTATAAAGCACTTCTGGGTTCAGTTCACAGAAATGCACGCATGTGTGTATGCCCATGTGCACACACACACACACACACACACACACACACAC